CATGAAGGAATTCATGTCCACGAAACCAGCCCTTTAGAGAGTTCTGGAAGCAATACAAAGAGCTGAAGAAAGGAACAACTATACCCAAGCTGTTACAGAAAGAAACTCTAATAAAGGTGTAACTGTGGAAATGCACAGCTATACCAAGAATGTGAACAGAAATAAAAATGACAGGATTCAATACACATCTTTCATTAATAACTTTAAATATCAATGGACTGAAGTTCCCAGTCAAAAGACACAGATTAGTTGAATGGATTAAGAAACAAAACCCATTTTGTAGTCTGCAAGAAACTCCTCTCACTTTCAAGGACACGCACTGCCTTAAGGTGAAAGAATGGAAAAAAATATACCAGGTAAATGGTACTAAGAAAAAAGCAGGCATTGCAATTCTAATATCTGATAAAATAGACTTTAAACTAAAACTAATCAGAAGAGATAAAGAGGGCCACTTCATTCTGATCAAAGGAATAATAAGCCAAGAAGATATTACAATCATGAACATATATTCACCAAATTCTGGTGCACGAACTTCATAAAAACAGTACTACAGAACTTTAAGACCCAGATTAATCCCAACTCATTAACAGGAGAGGATTTCAATACCCCACTGTCTCCATTAGATAGGTCAACAGGACAAAGAATTAACAGAAAGACATCTGAATTAAACAATACCATATATCAAATGGACCTAACAGACATCTACCAAATATTCCACCCAAGCACCAAAGAATATACTTTCTATTCAGTGCCCCAAAAAACCTTCTCCAAAATTGACCATATACTGGGGCACAAAACAAACCTCAACAAATACAAAAAGACTGAAATAATTCCATGCATTCTATCAGACCACAATAAAGCTTAAAATCAACACCAGAAGAAACCCTAGTAACATGGAGATTAAACAACACACTCCTGAATGATGAATGGGTCAAAGGAGAAATTAAGAAAGAAATAAAAGTATTCCTGGAACTAAATGAAAAGGACAATACAAAACAACAAAATTTCTGGGACACATTGAAAGCAGTTCTTAGAGGGAAGTACATAGCTTTAAGTGCCTACATTAAAAAATTGGAAAGAACACAAATAAATGACTTAACATTGCAACTCAAAACACTTGAAAAACAACAAATAAAACACAAATCCAGCAGACAAGAAGAAATAACAAAAATCAGAGCAGAAATCAATGAAATAGAAACAAAGAAAATACAAAGAATCAACAAATCCAGGAGCTGGTTCTTTGAAAAGATAAACAAGATTGACAGACCACTAGGCCCAGTTTACCAAAAGAAAGAAAGAGCACTTCCAAATCAACAAAATCAGAGATGAAAGGGGAAACATCACAACAGACACCAAAAAGATCCAGATCATTATAAGGGAATACTTTAAAAACCTATATGCTACTAAATTTGAAAACCTAAAAGAAATGGACAGGTATCTAAAAGCATGGGAACCACCAAAACTAAACCAAGAAGAGATTAACAGCTTAAACAGACCCATAACACATAAGGAAAATGAAACAGTAATACAAAACCTCCCGACTAAAAAAAAGCCCAGGACCAGATGGATTCACAGCAGATTTCTACCATTTAAAGAAGATCTACATTCAATACTACATAATATACTCAAATAAATAGAAATGGAGGGAGAACTTCCAAATTCCTTCTATGAAGCCAGCAACACTCTAATACCAAAGCCAGGTAAAGATACAATCAAAAAAGAAAACTATAGACCCATATCCTTAATGAACACAGAGCAAAAATTCTCAACAAAATACTTGCAAACCACATTAAGACACACATCAAAAAGATCATCCACCATGATCAAGTCAGTTTTATTCCAGAGATGTAGGGATGGCTCAATATACATAAGTTAATTAACGTCATAAATCATATAAATGGGCTCATTTATATGTCCATATAAATGGACAAGAACCACATGGTCATCTCAATAGATGCAGAGAAGACCTTTGACAAAATTCAATGCACATTTATGTTCAAAGTCCTAGAGGGAACTAGACTGGAGGGAACATACCTCAACACAATTAAAGCCATATACAATAAACCCACAGTCAACATCATTGTAAATGGAGAAAAACTGGAAGCATTCCCACTGAAATCAGGAACCAAACAAGGCTTTCCACTATCTCGAACAACCTACTGACAAATTATACATACAACTAGCTCAAGGAATATAATATATATCTAGGCAAGGTCTATCTGAGAATGTTTGGTCTTTGCCCAAGCTTTATATACTTGGCACATGGTAATTAGAAAGTACCAGACTGGTGGAACTACTTCTTGGATGTTTAACAGACATACTTTAAGGCCTATACTAATTTGGTCAGAGGGACATAAAGGACAGTTTTTGCTCCTTGCCCTCCTAGGTTGACTAAGTTCTAGGGGACTATGAGCATCTCTCAAAATGTCCTGTAACTTCGGTGAGTCACCTGTCCTCTTGATCAAGGAGGCCGTGGAGACCCCACCAGATGGATTTGAATCAGTGTCCAGTCTACAAAGAGGAAGATCAACACAGAGGAAACATTTTGTCCATCCTACCAAGCGAAGCCAGCTATGGTCCAGCAGGACCTTTGACTTATCTTCAAATAGATGGAACTGGTAAAAGAAAGGAGCCAGGGGCTCCACCCAAGCCCATGTGACCCCTGAGGAACAGATCCTCAAACAGCCTTGAGAGTAAAAATAAATTGGTTTATCTGGGCCAACTGTAGGATCTTAAACACCCAAAAGGAAAGTATAACCAAAGATTAAATGGGTCAATATAATTTTTTAAGAGTCCATATGTATAGCCAAAAGCTACATAACAAGAAACGATGCCAGACAGGAGACACGTTCTTTGAGTTGTCGGCCAGGGTGGCCCAAGCGACTCCCAGACAGTAACCCAGCACAGAACTGGGAAAATGAACAACAGATCCCAGTATTATCTAAAGGAATATTGACAACTGATTGCTGCTAGATGAGGAACAGCTGATCTTCCTAAAACAAAGCTCTCTAGATAGGCTGACTAGATCCAGCAGATGGACAAGCACTGGGGAATGGCTGGGGGTGCCGACAACACAGTGGACAGTAACAAGGATGACAGAGTATATGGGCTCCAATCGGTGTGGGGGCAGGAGGGGAGAGGCTATGGGAGGGTGCCATTTGGGAAGTGGGTATACAGATGATTGTGATGTTCTGTATGATACACACACACACACACACACACACACACACACACAAAATCAACAAATAAAAAAAATGAGTTACATTTAAGGAAGAAGCATAAAATTTTGCTTCATGTTAATTAGTAGAGGTGAAAAACATTACCAGCGAAATCTACCTGATGACTTTATATCCATACTGAGGTGCCAAGAATCCTAGTGTAACTAACTGTGACTAGTAACAATCAGATACACAGAGATTAGAGACGCATGTACAAACGTGTTAGTAGCATTGAAAATGAGTTCATTTAAGGAAGAAGCATAAAATTTTGCTTCATGTTAATTAGTAGAGGTGAAAAACATTACCAGCGAAATCTACCTGATGACTTTATATCCATACTGAGGTGCCAAGAATCCTAGTGTAACTAACTGTGACTAGTAACAATCAGATACACAGAGATTAGAGACGCATGTACAAACGTGTTAGTAGCATTGAAAATGAGTTTTTCTATAGGAAATAGCATATTTTAAAATGAAATGGAGATTTTTTAAAGGTTAAAACCTCATTCAATTTTATGTCTCACAGGGTTTATACTGAGTTCAATATTGTATAACTATATTAATTCAACTGTAAACATAAAAATTTATAGCCACTTTTGAAAAAGATGCATCTTTACTCTGGAAATTGGGTGTTTGGTTTTTTTTTTTCCGGTCTTTGAGACAGGGTCTCCCTGTAGCCCCAGCTGTCCTGAAACTCACTATGTAGACCAGGCTGGCCTTAAACTCACAGAGAGCCACCTGCCTCTGCCTCCTGAGTGCTGGGATTAAAGGCATGCACCACCACGCCCGGTTTGGAAATTGTTATTGACTGTTAAAGCTACAATGAAATGCTTCTTCTAATCATGTGGTTATTAAATAATTTTTAAAAAATTAATTCAAAACTCACAAAGCTGCTATAAATAAAATATGGTTTCCATATTTTGACAGTATTTACCCTTATACAATATAATTTACATGAAATAACATAATTTGTATATTCTTAAAATAAATGACATCTTCCTAGGTAGATTTTACTAAGGGAACAAGTTGAAGTACACACAAAAAAATGTCTTCCTCAGAAGGACTTTTTACACCAACATTATACTGCAGCTTATAACAGTAAATCAAGGCTGAATGTGGAGGCACACACCTTTGATCCTAGCACTTGGGAAACAGAGGGAGGAAAATCTCTATGAGTTCAAGGTCAGCCTGGTCTACATAGTGAAACCCTGTCTCAAAACAAAACAAAAAACACATAATAAACGAATCTTTTTCAAAACAAAAAAAAAGGGCAAGTATCTGACAGAATATTTTAAATGTCTTAAAAGTAAGATATATGAAGATTATGAAGCAATAATTAAAATGATGTTAATATAATATCAAAGCTGTTAATCTAATGAAATGATATCAACAATAATTTAAAATGACATCATGTTTTTAATAGATCTACAATCTACCACATCTATAATTAACTTGTATTGTGTAGATTGGGTGGAGACATTAAAACTGACACTTTGCTCTGTTTCAAATTTTCATTTATATTAATACTTCAATTTTTTTAAAAAACAAAGGTTTTTGGAGTGTTTTCCTCAGGTATTTATTTTACCTATTATTGACTAAAAAAATAAAAAGAAAAAACTCACAAAACACCTTTATTTCATTTTCATCTTCTTAGTTGTCATTAACATTTACTACTAATAAGTGTTATCACAAAAGATTTGTATCAGACTGAATGTTCTATCTGTCCATATCATCTCTAGAACATTCAAACTGTAATCTGAGAGTCTGAATTTTAAAGAACTACCTTTGCGTAAGGGTTGTGGCATCATTAAGATGTGGATCAGCAGAAGGGATGTCACATCATGATAAAGAATTGGAACTTCAGGCTGCTGCTCTTCACTTCCCAGCCTAAAAGAAAAGTACACAACCACTTTAGAAAGCATTGTGTATCTTCTTAAATCATTTAATATTTCACATGTCTATAAAACAGAAAGTCTTCACAAATAAGCAAGGAATCTCAAAAGAGATACTTAGAGGTCATATTTTTGGTAGCATATATGTTTATTTTTCTAATTTGAAAACATAACAAAACTTCGTTAAGTATTCCCAAAGTAAACTGAGCTGTATTGACTTGAATATTAGTCTTTCAGATCATTTAAATTATAGAAATTAAACAAGGCATGAAATAAAATGGAAGAAATTTTGTTTTACAATACAAATGGGACAGCTTATAGGACACTATCACAAAAGATTAAATGCTTACCTTATTTTTTTTAAAAAGCACAGGTACAGATCAGAAATCAAGTCATATTTAAAAGGCCTGGTTAGTATGCTTATTAAAAAACTGTTAAAGGTTTACTGTTAACAAAAGTTCTAATAAAATCTTGTGAAAAACTTTTGCCATTTCAAAAAAGGATAATGAAAGCAGAACTTAAAGTACACCATAAGAATAAGGCAGTAAACCCTAGGAATGTGTAATACTATGAAAAATATAAAGTAAATAAAATATAAAGCCTATTCTAAAAGAATTTCTTACATACTTTCAGGTTAGTGTGTGTGTGTGTGTGTGTGTGTCTTTGTCTGTCTGTCTGTCTGTCTTGGGTGCTGGAATTGAACTCAGGGCCTCATGTATACCTAACAAGCACTCTGCCACTGAACTATAGCCCCAGGTCTAGAGAATTAATTTTTTTATTATAAGTTTAATATTTTAATGTCAGAGAAGAAAAGCAAATCTCAAGGTTCCACAACTGACTAAATTCTAAAGCTACACTTCTGACTAGATTTGAGCAAAAATTGTTCAACTCTTTTATTAAGTTCTATTATTCAAGAGGTATTGCTTACTATGTGCCAGGCATTGAATAAATTGGTAAATCAATTATTGCTTCTATAGAGCTTGTAACTACCAATGAAAGATAGCTTTTAGAATTAGTCCATTCTTTACAACTATCCCATTTTAAAAAATATGTCCCTCAGTGTAAGTTCAACCACTAGAGTCTGTTCAGCCTGACTAGTGTCATTCTCTTAAAAAAAGATCAATTCTCAGGGGCTGGAGAGATGGCTCAGGGGTTGAGAGCGCTGGCTGCTCTTGCAGAGGACCCAGGTTCAGTTCCTAGCACCCACATGGCCGCTAATAACTGTGACTCCAGTTCCAGGGAATCCTACATCCTCTTCTGCCCTCCATGGGCACTGCATGGCATGGGTGCACTTACCTACATGCAGGCATTACAATCATACACATTAAATAAAAATAAAAATAATTTTAAAAAAGATCAATTTTCTCTCACTCAACAGTGACCAGCTGTCAAAGTAGTGGCCTACTACCTATTTCCCCAGTTTTAGGCTGGTTTTTGTTTGATTGAGTTTGCATGGGTTTTGTACATGCTGTCACCATTGCTGTAAGTTCATATGTGCAGGGTCCCAGGATCTTCATGGTCATACACCTCCTCCCTGACTCTTACAATCTTTCCACCCCATTTCAGCAATGGTCACTGGGTCCTGGGTGTGTGATGTTTAACATAGGAGTCCTGTCCAGGGACTTTTTGCAGTCTTTTTTCTCTACACTTTGGCCAGTTGTGGCCTTTTGTGTTCATTGCCCTCTGTTGCATAAAGAAGCTTTCCTGATGAATACTGAGAGAGACTATCTCTTAATACTCTGTACCTATCTTCTCCTTCATGGCTACAAATCCTACTATTATCATATCTCTCAAATTTCTCTAGATATCCTCCTCTTACTTTATAAGATCAAAATTAGAGAGGGAGCAATGGAAGGAAGGCATCATTTCATTATTAAAATCCCTCATGGAAATAGTTTTGCATATGATCAATAATGATGTCTTAATTATAAAATTTTGGGTATTATAAACACTCACCTTGTTTTAGATATACTTGAATGCCTTGACTCTACATATACTTGAAAACTATCTGGAATCTTTAAAATCTTTGAAAATAAATTCCAAATAATATATATATATGTATAACATATTATATATAATCTCACGAGAAAACTCTTCAAAGAAAATATAAGCAAATATTGCAAATCTTAAGACTGGGAACAGATAAAGGTAAATATCAGATCTTAGATAGACTGAGGAGTCAAAATACGAAAGCAATAGAAAAAATTAAAGACCAAGCTGGACTGACTATTTTTGGGGGTATTCTTTTTTTTGTTTTGTTTTTTTGTTTTTTGATTTTTGTTTTTTGAGATAGAGCCTCCCTGTAGCCCCAGCTGTCCTGGAACTGGCTATGTAGATCAGGCTGGCCTTGATCTCACAAAGATCTACCTGCCTCTGCCTCCCAACTGCTGGAATTAAAGGCATGCATCACCACACCCAAAAAGCATTTAAATTTTTAACTTTGAGGAAAGTAATTATAAAGTAAAAAGGCAAAAATATTTTAAGAGAATTTTTCAGCAACTATGACAAAACCCAAAGTAATCAGATCCACACATGCACCTACTGGCCCAACAATAACAAAATAAAATCCAGTATCTTAAACCATAAGGAATTATCCAGATAACTTAAAAAAAAATTAGATGCCGCTGGGCATGGTGGCGCACACCTTTAATCCCAGAACTCAGGAGGCAGAGGCAGGTAGATCTCTGAATTCAAAGCCAGCCTGGTCTACATAGTGAATTCCAGGCCAGCCTGGGCTAGAGGGAGATCCTGTCTCAAAAAGACACACACACACACACACACACACACACACACACACACACACAAACACGGCAACAGAAAAATGGACAGAGGTCCTGAAAATACCATTCAAAAAGAACATGCACAGCCAGACAAGGTAATACATGCCTATTAATCCTAGCACTCAGTGACTGAAGGAGGAGATTCATTAGTTCAAAGCCAGCCTTGGCTACACACTGCAAGAACCTATTTCAAAAAAATGATAGAAGATGAGGATGGAAAGATGCCTCAGTGGTTAAGAGCACAGACTGCTCTTGCAGAGGCCCTGGGTTGGGTTTTCAGCACTCACATGGTGGCCAATAACCATCTGTAACTCCAGCTCCAGGAGTTCCTATGTGTTCTTCTGACCTCCATGGGCATTGCAAGACATGGGTGCATGCGCTTACATACATGCAGGCAATACACTCATACACATAAAAAAATAAAAAAATATTTAAAAAAAATTTTAATTAAAGGACTGGAGAAATGGCTCAGTGGTTTAAGAGCACTAGCTGCTCTTGCAGAGGACCCAGATTCAGTTCCCAGCACTCACATGATGACTCACAACCACCTGTAACTCCAGTTTTAAAGGATCTGAGGTCCTTTTCTGACCTCCAGAGGCTCCTGCAAGCAAATGATGTACAGAAACTCATGCAGGCACACACATACACATAAAAGTAATAAGGGGGCTGGAGGGATAGCTCAGTGGTTAAGAGCACTGACTGCTCTTGCAGAGGACCTGGGTTTGATTCCTAGCACCCACATGGTGGCTAACAGCCATCTGTAACTCCAGTTCCAGGGGATCTGACGCCCTCTTCTGACCTTCGAGAGCACTGCACGACATAGGTGCACCTACCTGCACGCAGGCAATACACCCGTATACATTAAATAAAAATATTTTAAAAAATAATAATAATAAATCATTTTAAGGAAAGAAAAAAGAACATAAATAGAAAATGTGAAAATAATTTTACAAGAAATCAAAAAATTTCTATTACTTTGAGATTCAATTTTTTAACCCAAAGTATTAGCCAAAATAAATTCCAGTCAAAATACACAAAATTGAAAAAAAAAAAATGATGGCACTCTTACATTGCCTGGGGATGTAAACATATAGATAAACTCTATTATAAACATACAGAGTTTCCCTGAAAAGTAATGTTGCACTATGTACCATAGCATATGGCACTTAGTAAATATCAATCAAATAAAAGAGCAAATTTTTAATATATTTATGTTTTCAGCCACACAAAATATCCCATAGTTCTGGGGTTATAGTCTGGCATGTCTTAGCATATCATATGATATTATGATACAGAAACAATTTAAATGATTATCAACATGAAATACACATCATTTAGGGGTATCATTTAAAGAATGTTTAATAATGTGGAAATTTAATTGTGACACCTTGATATTTTTCTTTCTTCAATATTTTATTTATTGTTTTTATTTTTATGTGTATGACTGTATTGCCTGCATGTGTGTAAGTGCAACCATGTTGTGCAATGCCCATGGAGGTCAGAAGAGGGCATTGGATTCACTGGAACTGCAGTTACAGATGGTTCTTAGCTACCATGTGGGTGCTCTTAACCACTGACCCATCTCTCCATCCCCAATGACATTTTATTTTTAAAGTAGACTTGAAATTTGAATCAAAGGATATCTTAAATTTCATATATATATATATGTATATATATTCATATACATGTGTGTGTATATATATATATGAAAGCAATTGGAAAAATATATAGAGAGAGAAAAAAGATTGGGGAAAACATTGCATAAAATGCTAACAGCAAGGGTTGGGGGTATAACTAGGTGACAGAGCACTTGTCTAACAAGTGTGAGGCTTTGGGTTTGAGCCACAGAATCTCTCACACACTCACACACATACACACACAAAGTTACAATCTGTTGCTGTTTTATGATCTTATTTTCATAATGTTTTTTTTTGTATCTTGTAGACACTGCACTATATATATAAAATCTTCATAATCAGAAAAAAATGAACCAAATTCACAGCCTATGTCCACTGGTGCAACAGAGGCATGAATATTTTGAAAGCAACCAACTACTTTCTGATTAGATTTAAAGCCCACTCCAGAAGATGGAACTCATTCTTGGTACCATTAATTGGATCAAAAAATGAGTGGTTAGTTGGGTCATAGGCCCCAGGGGAGAACCTAATACTATTATTCTACTAAATGAAGGACACAGTAATAAAGTGTCCCCTAA